TGAACATGGTTGATACCAAATGGATGAGCACAAGAAAGGAGGAAATTAGTGTCCGTCATTGTCATTGATACAATGATAAGAAAATGGCCGTTAAGTTTAACATAACAGCCAAGAGTCCTTTGGTGTTACCTTATAGGAGTCTTTCTTTGAGCGCTTAATTACGAGAAAATAAGAAAAGGTACTTTCTTCATCTCTGACATGCTATTATCGACCACATGAGTCCGTACTTTTGGTGTCCACTGCCTTTCACCCACATCCTAGCTATGCTTAAGTCTGGCCAGGATGAAGCTGGCCAGAGAGATAATGCCAGGAAGATGTAGAAGGAAACCTATTAAGATTGAGCAACTGATTGAGAAACCAAAGGCCCTACTTCTTCTATTAGTGTTACAGAAGAATCAACTCATAAATCCTACTTGTAGATGAGAAACTTTAACTAACTTACGAATGGTTCAAAGCTTTATTCTTGATCTATTCATACTCTGGATCTATGTGAGAACAGTTCTATGTTGCAGTGATATAAAGGAGGCTAACATAACAATCTATCTAATGGATCTATTATAAGTATGCTTGTTACTAAAAGGATCGATGTATATACTTCTCCTATCCGTTGGCGAGACAGTATAAATAACTTTATTCATTGTGCCCACAGCCCAGGCACTGTTCTTCAGGTACTAGGGAGTCTGTCTTGTCCTTCCCATTCCTTTTTCAGCCAGGAGTTTATAGGCTGTCCCCTTGAAATGGATATAGTTGGGCCAAGGAGTTTCAAACCTAATCAGGCATCTTTTTGTTATTGCTACTTGATGCGGCAGCTCCTGGGTTTTGTTTTAACATGCTGCATGTCATGTTATATTGAGACATCGGATTTGGTAATTGAGCTTGATGGACCTCTATAAGGAACGGTAAAAATAGAAAGAAGCTTTTCACCTTTTTCTCGCGAGGACAGAGGATTTAGATTATTTGAGAGTAAAAGCACCTGCAAATGTAGAAAGTCATCAGGTTTGTCATTAGAATATCCTGTTGCATCAGCTGATCTTGTGAAGGTAGCATTTGTCTTAGACTTATATATAAATTATTTTCCATGTAAGGTAACTTATGGCATGAAAGTGAGTCACCTGTCGTGATTAGAAAATGTAAATTTTTTTTTGACAGTGAGAAAAGGACAGTACCAACATTCTCCCAAGATATTACTCAACTTCATGTAATGGCTGAGCTGATTATTGTGTTGAGTTAGTATGATTAACATTAACGGCTTGACTACTCTCTATTCGAAATCTTAACATTCATGCAAGTCCTTTCTTGGTCTAATTGTATGAGTTATGCAGGAGTGGGGATCGGAGGTTACCAAAGGAGAGCACTCCCAACTCTGCAACTGTTGAGTATACTGATTTTTTGTTGGCCACAGCCTCAGGGAAGGTTGAAGGAGTCAAGGGTCCTGGAAAACTTGCTACTCTCTTTGAGAGAACAAAAGTGGCAGCTTACCCTATTGGTGCCATGACACCATGCATGAGATTATATGCGTTTCTGGGTAAAGAGTTCCAGACACTCTTAGATGCCAACCAAGACAGTCACCCATACAAAAAGTGGATCGACAGTTACTCGTCTGAGGGTTTCCAGGTTGGTCATACACTTCAGCTGTGACCTTTTCTCCTTTCTCGTACTTGGAAGATGATGTGGTTTTCAGTTTGCTATTTCAGCTCTGGTGTGAAATACATTACTGGAAGGTCCTCTTACTTCAATAGCTCAGAATTTTTATTCTCTTAATTTAGGCAGAAGCTCTGCAAATTGAAGACTTGCTGGATAAACTGTCTCTTTGACAGGCGAGAAGCTTGACGTCATTGAAAATCTTTATCACCAAGCCATGAAACTTGAAATAGAGTTCTTTCTTGCCCAACCACTTGCCCAGCCTACCATTGTCCCCATGATTAGAGAGCCCAGTTTGGCAGCGAATCGTCTTATGTTATTTTCTGATTTTGATCTGACTTGTACAGTCGTTGATTCTTCTGCCATTGTGGCTGAGATTGCCATAGTTACTGCTCCGAGAACTGATACAAGTCAGTCTGAAAGTCAACTTGCTAGGATGTCATCAGCTGAACTGAGGAAGACATGGGACATCCTTTCGAGACAGTACACAGAGGAGTATGAGCAATGCATAGAAAGAATTATGCCGGCCGAAAAAGGTATAGTTTGTGGCATTTATTGTTCAACACCTTGAAACATTCTCCTCCCGGCACTGTCTAGAATGTTCTTTACATTTTTTTGTTTAATATTTGCAGCTGAGGCATTTGATTATAAAGCACTTGACCAGCTGTCCGATTTTGAGAAACAGGCAAATTCCAAAGTGAACGAGTCCGGGGTCCTAAAGGGTCTGAAACTTGAAGACATAAAGAAAGCAGGTGAGAGGATGATTCTTCAGGATGGTTGCACCAGTTTCTTCAAGAAACTCATCAAGGATGAGATGGTGGATGTCAATGTCCATGTACTCTCGTACTGTTAGTGTGGTGATTTAATCAGATCAGCATTTTCTTCAGGTAAACTCCTTTCCTTTTGGGGGCTACCCATCTTTAGCATAAGACTTTCTACTTGCATGTATACCAAAATACATAGAAAGCACCTGGGAGTGCTACTACCATCTTTTGATTGCTCAAGTCCATCTACAGTCTGTGCATTTGAGAACTTAAGAGATCGATATCTGGCTAGGGCATGTAATTTACTCACGACATTCACGGCACAGGGGACTTACAGCTTCTGAATGTACGTACAAATGAGTTGACTTTTGACGAGTCTTTTTCTACTGGTGAAATTGTCAAGAAGATGGAATCTCTCATTGAAAGGCCAAAGCATTTGATGAAATTTTGAAGAACAGGGAGGACAATAAGAGGAACTTGACCATCTACATTGGAGATTCGATAGGAGACATACTTTGCCTCCTTAAGGCAGATATTGGAATTGTGATTGGGTCAAGTTCAAGCTTACGGCAGGTGGGAAGTCAGTTTGGAGTATCTTTCTTCGAACTTTACCCTGAGTTAGTCAAGAAGCAGAAAGAGTACAGCGAAGAGAGCTCTGCTGATTGGAAGGGATCATCTGGCATTCTTTATATCGTCTCTTATTGGGCCGAAATACATGCATTTATTTTGGGGTGGTAGCTGAAAATTTCCTTTCGCGTATCCTCATTCTCTCACTAAAAGGACAAACAAAACCTACCTCAATGAACTTTGTGCAATATCGAGGAAGACTGCGTTTGAACCACAAAAGAGAAATTACATCACCCGCACCAAGTCCCTGTTCAACAATGGAAGACATTGGTACACCAGCGTAGCACGGCTCTTCCCCTGCAAAAGACGAATGCATTAATTTAGTACAACAGAATTCTTCCACCATCAACATCTAAAAAACTTCTTTCAATTTTACATTTCTGCAAGATTACCTCTATCATCGGAGATGGTTGAAATAATGTGAGTTGGAGCCCGAACTTTCCCGCTCTTAATTGCCGTGTTAAGATCCTCAGGGATCTGTGGAGGCGCGACTTCCTTAACTGGTGAAATCTTTCCTTCTTCAACCTAAGAAAGGATCATAAAATATGCATCAAGACTCGATCTTTGGGTAGGGCCCAAGTGGGAGTAGAACCACGTGCCCTGCTCTTTGCACGTGTTAAAGAGTCAACAACATGCATTTGATGACACCGTCTCATGTTCTACCAGTGGCCTCATCCCTGCAAACTGAAAACAATGCTTGCCGGTTTCTCAAAGGTTTCCTTGATTGCGGTCTCCAAAGCTTCATATGAAGTAGGAACAACCGCCCCTGCTTCCCTGAGTGCTTGATTCTTTGCTTGTGCCGATTCCATTTCACCACCGCTTTTTGCACCCTAAGATGGTATTAAGAAGGAAGAACCACTTAAATCTTTTATGATTTAGTTATTGGGCTTGAAAAATTATGAAAAGCAATGAAGGCAGTCACTTACAGCATGACCAAATTGCACTTCTGACTTGAAGAGTCGTGCACAAGTCCCACTAACCCAAGCCACCACTGGTTTGGTCACTTTCCCCTGCTTTAGAGCTTCGACTAGGGAGTACTCGTCTCGTCCACCAAGTTCTCCAAGTACAACTATCATTTTGACCTGAGACAGATTAAAGAGCAGATCAGAGAACACGCTCTTGAATGACAAGATTGCTTAACTAGTAATGGAACTTTAAATTGGCATCTTAAAGCCAAAGAACACTAGATGCCCTATCATCTGTTATAAGTATTTACGAAAAAAACAAAATGACTCAAACTGCTTTATGATTCAGACTACACAAACAGTTCACAGTAAGCAAGCAAAACAACTCTATATTGCTATACCTGAGGGATATTGTTAAACCTCAGTATATGGTCAGAGAGAGTAGAACCCGGGACGACATCACCTCCGATGGCAATACCTACAGAAAAGAAAAGAGATAAATCGACTGTAAACTTGGCACTCTTCCACATTGTTAAGTGCCACATAAATTAGAGGCATATCTGCATACCTTCGTAGATTCCATCAGTGACACGGGGCAACAGTGTTGTAAAGTTCATTAGACATGCCTCCCTGCAATAAAGAGTCAATAAATTACTGCAAATCGACAACAGTGTTCAAACTAGCTGCCCAGATGAACAATCAAGAAACAAATTTAATGTAGCTTTGTCTGTGCATCTCAAAATGTTCTTCAAGAGAGCAATCCAAACTTTTGTTTTAAAGCTCTTTTCCAGTTGTCGGGCCAAACGTCGCAACAACATGTGTCGAAGCATAGGAACTTCAAGAATACGTACAGACTCAGAGACAAAACCAACGGATCCAGTTGTCAATAGTCCCAGCAGTGTCACCGATCTTCAATGCACCAGCTTGAATGCCTCCAACAGTTGCTGCGCCAATTACAACCCGCAATACCAGCAGGGTAAGAAGCTAACTTGACCGACTATTTGCAAAATTATGGTGAATAGCAAAATAAAGTCTCGCAATGCTTTCGGATTCTACTTCATCTATAGCTAGCGTTCTTCTCACCTTATTGTTTGCACGAGCATATGCAATTAACTGTTTGGTGTCTTACTCTGGAACACCTTCAGCAATAATGGCTACAACTCTTATAGTTTGCTGTTTTAGAGCAGCCAGTGATGAAGCAGCAGCACTGGAAAGGAAAAAAAAAATTGAATTCCACGGCAAGTACTTTAGCAATCAAAGTTAATGTCAATTAGTACCTAGTACTTACCTTCTGAATGAAGCAAAGTTGATGGACCCATCAGCAGTAGGATGTACCGCACATGCTGCTTCAGTGCTGCAAGAGTAATAACATGCTTGTAAGATACAGACTCCACAATGTGCAATCGCCCCTTAAACTGCAGGTTGCTCCAAGAGTCCCAAACTGGGGAAAACATCGATAGAACTCGACCATACTAAACTGCTATAGTTGTGCTAGTGTACAATGAAACAGGAAGTTACTGTTGCACTATCTGCAGCATACTAAGCGTAGATGTAGAACTTCCACATCACCTGGCCACTAGGCTAATGAAAATCAACGATGCTGTCAATAGATCACAGGGCATGGGATTCCTTTATATTCCCTGTTTTCTTTTTTTTTGCGAGTAATCAAGTGGGCATTTCAAGTCTTAATAATAGTAGTTACTGCTGTTGTCTCCTATCCTTCTAAAAAATGTATTCATGGGTTAATTTTATCGCAAAAGCAAGCCACCGCAAGAGATTTAAAGAAAATAGAAGAAAAGAAAGGTAATTTCTCTCCATCATTTATGATGGGTATAATCAACAGAGCACTTTGTAGCAAGTTAGCCACCAATCAGAAGCAAAATTCAGCTCACTGTTTGGTTAGCTTTACAATCTAAGAATGATGGGGAAGAAAAAGTAAGATGTGAATGACGTACGTCGAATGAACTGGGATAGCAATTTCCTCCTGGCCAAAGAAGAGTTTCTGAAATCCCTCAGAACTAGGGTTGATAATACCTGCAACCGATGGTGTTTCCCCCGCCCTACACAAAACAGGAAAGTTCGAGTAACATTAATGACTTCCATTGAAAAGAAGATCCCAGCAAGCATATTAAGGAAAGAAACACATAGATTGCAGTGGCCCGACTTGTCCTACACACTACAAAGGAAGTCAAAATCAAGCATCTGCTGGATTGGGAGTTGCTTGTAGTTATAGAATAGAGCTTGCGTGGTGCGGGAGAATAGATGTCCAGTGGCCATGATGAAGAAGTACCAAAAACCTGCATGAATGAAGGAACAAGTCTCAATAATAAATCTAGATGCCGCATCGTAAGCTCCAGTGGCGTAACACTACTTGAAAGAACAAAGCACACGGAAGCCCAAAGATCTTGAAATCCCTCATTTGGAAAACCGAGTACGATGTGTTTACGTGGAAGCATGTAAACAGCCATTCACAACATCAGCTGTATGGTGTAACTCAGAATTTGCGCCATTTTGCAAACTTTTGTACAAAGATGAGCCTCGTATAGGCTGGCCTGACTTGGAAATTCAGCCCTGGGTCCCACCCCTCCCCCATATTTAATTTTATTTATTTATTGCGTTTTCATGATCGAGATCCGAAGCGTGAGATATGAAGATCAGCTTTCGAATTTGGAGATATGGAGACCATCAAACAACACACCGTTGCATCTTTTTTGTCCAATCTCCGACGCCCCTTTTCAAATTTCAGTGGCTTAACGCTTTCCTCCGAGGCTCTTCAGTGACAGGACATCACCATACTCCGATTCTTCCACGAACTCGCAATATGCATATTTTATATTTGTGCTGCTCCACTCAGCTTTCAACTCACCAGATTCCACCAATTCTTAGTGCAACTCCAAGCACTGTTGACCAGGTGACTCTCTTCAAAGCATTTGAGTCAGGGATGAAGGTGTGCGACAACGAAGAGGAGGAAGAAGAAATTGGAGGTAAGATAGCGAAATGAGGAGCGGCCATGGTTTTCTTTCGTCAGTTGAGCTAAAGATGCATTGTACAGTGATAGTACGAGTTTCCAGTTTCATTTCTCGGGAAAAGACGGGACTCCTTTTTTAGAGAAAAATGACAAGTTGGAAGGAAGCGTGGTTTTGTTTGGTTTCTCTGTTGAATAAGATAGTAGCTCCGAGTCATTAGGCTTGTTCTCATCACTGGGACTGATTGGTTCGAACTAAAACAGGGTTTGGTGATTTAGACTTTCATATAGAATGCCATAGGCAAGCCTGCACGATACGATCGGGTAGGGGACAGTTTGATCTTCTCGTTATTGAAAACCGGTCGTAGCAAAAAAACAAACAAATTATATAGGATCAGCGACAGGGTTGTAGTTGCGGATCACCGATGAGCCCTTTTTCCTTTTTGCAGGGAGGCTAAATGGATTGAGAAAACAAGCAGCTATCTTATCATGACAAAAAGGACCGCGCAAATTCGTTGGAGCGTTGGACCCCCTCCAACGTATGTATCGAGTACTGTCCATCCTATATCCCAATCAAGAGATTCAGGGAAAGCACAAACGATCTGAGATCGGAGTAAAACAATCATGAAAACAAAGTGCCACTGGGGTGAATGTCCAAGAACAAGGACTGAATGCAAGAACAGGGAGTTTTTGCAAGGACCCTAAGCAAGCAAGTTCAGAAATCCTGGGAATACTACCTTCTTACAATATTTCCGTATAGAGAGCCCTCAAATCAAAATGCTCTCCCACTTTCTCCGTGTAAACTGCCTAACTCTCATATCAACAGAAGGAAACTAAGCCTAACTCTCATATCAACAGAAGGAAACCAAGCTTAACTCTCATATACCAAGCCTAACTCTCATATCAACAGAACGAAACCAAGCCTAACTCTCATATCAACAGAAGGAAACAAGCAATAGCAATCTGACATTCCTGTCACGCAGCGCTTCCCTCCCTCGCCGCTGCTCGGTGGTTACTCGAACAACGCCGGCGGCGGCGGCGGCCCCACGACACCCGACCGGAAGACAGAGGACTCGATCAGCGGTGGAGCTCGTGAAAAATCCACAATAAAGGTCTACCAAACACAGCTTGTCTGTGTCACACATCTGTCTAAGGGAAAACGCCAAAAAAGAGAGAGGATACATGAAAATTACCTCCACGAACCTCCGGTCTTCTCCATCAGGCAAAAATCGGAAGTCTCCGACGAAAACAACCGCATATCGTCCGCCAATGTATCCGAAAACGTTCATCGTGTCCACGCGATGAATGCAGGGATCCACCATCGCGTGTAACCCAGATATCTCCTCTAAGTCGTCGGCAGTAATGCTGTCGAAGTCGACATGGGAATTGGGGCCAAAGAATTGAACAATGAGATCGCGGCAGTGGTCGAACAGGGTATAGTATACCCCGCCGAAGAATGCTGCCGTTTGATTCGGATCCATGGAGGGATCGAGATCGAGATCGAGATCGAGAGGGAGAACAGGGAGAGGGAGAACAGGGAGAGGGAGAGCGGCGAGAGGAGCGAGAGGTCGGGCGTTTAGAGTGTTGCGCAGGAAGTTTAGGGTTTTATAACCCCGACCCGAAAAGAAAAACCCCGTTTTCTTCTTCTTTTTCTTTTTTTTCTTTTCTTTTCTGTTTTCCGGTTCTTGTCGAAGCGTGGTCATCTTTAGCAACTTCGGAAACCATACCCGCGGATTATGTTGTGAATGTTGGGTCTGGTTCGACCGTGTATTTGTCTTCGTATCCTCTTGTGACCCCTATGCCTAGACCAAACCGTACGTTTTGATTAATGTCTTTTCCAGTTTTGTGTTTTCCCTTTTTGGTAATTTGTTGATATATATTGCGAAAGTCTTTTGTTTTTTGCTATTTTCTTTTGGGATCGCAGCTATACGAAGATTGATATGCGAATTTGGTATACTTAACAGTGCGACAGACAATAAGTAGTCAATCAAATTCAACACCCAATAAGAGTCTATACATCGCTTAATGTTCCAGCAATTTAGTATGTTTAACATTATCTTTTCCTTAATCAAATCCAGTTCAATTCTTGTGAAGTTGATTGAGCAATGTGATTCATTGCAATGTTCTCAAGAAGCATCAGTCTTGAGTACGAGGGACAGGGGACCAATATTCAATGTCGGGTAAATGTATGAGAAAAAAATAAATCAGCTATACACCGATTAAGTATTGCGATGACGTGGATAGAATTCTTGTGTCCCCCATCCTTTCGTCCTCTCACTGGATTAAACACTCATAAATTCGCGGAAGAGCGTCGTTTCAAGGTTCGCATTTTTTTTGTCTTTTAAAAATGGAAATCAAACGCCTATGAATTTCCCTTCATACCATTCCATCACTTTATTGAAACCGATTGACTCACTTCTCCACGCCGGCAGTAGAACGGATGCATGATATGCTTTCTCCTATGTTGCCGTAATAACCAGTCTTGTGCCAATTGGTCAATATAATCTTGTTCAACGAGTAATATTCAGCGCCTTCCCCTAGGCCCTCCAAAAAAAAAATTAAATAAATAAAAACACTAGGAGCTAGTTCTCGTTCTCCATGACTTCACAACAGCGGCAACATGATTAGAAGCCTAGGTACTTTGTGATTAACGACGTACAATCCAGCCTATGCAGTTGTACATGCGAAGGTCTTAACTTGTCGTGCTTCATTCGAGCCGGACTATGCAATGAATAGTTAGTTTTTGCTCGCATATCAGAGATTCACTTCAAATGTGGGATTGAGTTTTCACTTAATTTAATGGGTGGCATGCCCTTGTGTTCTCTCCACGTTTCTTTGACATAGACACTGGGAATATCTGGCGTGAGCTGTGCATACGTTATATAATGCTGGGTTTCTCTACCATTTTGACTTATGAGAATGGAATTCATAAATGGTTACAAGATTCCACCAATGCTATGAACTGGTCAAAGATTCTTTGGGGTTTTCTAAGTTCATTATACTGTCACAGGCCATTTAGTCCTGTTGCCTTTTCGCCGCCCTCTTGCGGTCATCCAACTCGAGGTTTTGCGGTTTCAGGTTTTGGCGGAAGCTTGCTGTTTCAGAATCCCCGTCGGTTGAATGTTTCTACTGCCAGCTGCATCTTCAAGATTCGTGAATGATCCATGATTCCGAGTCTCCCAAGCAAACCATGGTTGGAACTGGTCTTACGGTCTTAAAATGCCGCAAGCAAGAAATCGCTTTTCCTTCTTGTTTGCATATTGCAATTCAATATCTATCTCGGCGAGTGGGAAATAAAGAACACTCCCATCAGCCGTCGCATGTATAGATACCACGCACTACTTTAGTCGTAGAGTTTCAGAAGATGGTAATTCTTCATCGATGTGAGTTTAGTCCATTTTTGGCTGTTCAGGATTAGTCTGTTACCTCGCGATCGTGTTTTCTTCCTGTTTTCCCCCTCTTTGTTCTTCTAGCAGACAAATTATGCAAGTTATATCTGTGAGGAGACAAGAAGCCAAGAAAAGAAAGAACCAAAGCTAAATACAAAAGAGCAAACCCTGTCGAATAAGACCATTTCCCTTCTTGTTGCTACTTACATCATCTGTCCTCCGAGAGCTGCCCCAAAACACTAGCTTTTCGCAGCATCACAAGGTTGTCTACCACTTCAAATATTAATAATTCGATAATCAAACAATTATATAGAGCTTTTAATTAGCTGTATTAACTATAACAAAAGGGATGTGAATTAGTCTTCGTCATAATATTTTTTAATAACTCGAATTAAAAATAGATACAGGTAGAACAAATGCTTAAGAACACGCAAGCCACGAATTGCTACTCATGTTTCTTTCTCTTCTCTTTTCTTTCTCGCTTGCAAATTCTAACTGTGTCACCTGAAACAATAATGATTTTTCATCACAATTGTGGATTGTGATTATATATGGATATTCCAAGATTCGGGTTGAGTGTCAAAGTCGAGAGTCGGATCGTAAGTGCCATATTGAACACCTGATAGTCGAGTCTATCGCATCGCGGCTAATTTTGTTAACTAGTCTCCACATACCTACCGTAATTTGAGATCTATAGCCGGAGAGAGTGGCCGTGGATATGATTTGAACTCTCTTTACTGAAACCATATAGGGCCATCAAATCGATTAGCAAATGTTCTGAAGTTATTCAAGAACATAAGCTAGCAACTTGTGGTGAGAATGGCCTGTGCTCTTTTGTAGGGTTGAATGTAATGGCTTTTCTCATTACTCTTGGAAGACGTACGTGCAAAAATCAACTGAATCCAGTGAAGCAATCCAGTTAGAGCAGTAAAATAGACATGATATACTACAGATTGCAAATCGATTGCTATCTTGGCGGCTCATCCAAAACCCTAGGCTCCGTTTGTTTCACGGAACATATTTTTCGGAAAAACATTTTCTTCAATTTCTAGCGCTTGAATTGGTTAGGAAAATGAGTTAATGAAAAACATATAATTAAATTCAGGAAAATGATTTCCTCTTTAAAGAATCGGAAATCATTTTCCAAAATATGACTAAATATTGACATTTGAACCTTAAACTTTGCACTTGGACATGAGAATCCCAATGCTCGTTCCTGGGCCCTTGGCAATGAGGCTAGGTCTACCGAGGTCCACCAAGGGCAAGCTCGGGTCCATTGAGGCAGGGCCAAGATCTCGGCGTCCGGGCCCATTCCCATCGAGGCCGGGCCTGGGACTCTTGTGCCCTAGTCCATTGAAGCCAAGCCTAAGACCATAGCGCTTGGGATCGCGTCCTCAGGGCTACTCGGGTCCCCGGCGCCCATGTCCATCAAGGCCGGGCCCCGGTTTCTAGTGCCCACACCCAGGTCCATCGAGATTAGGCCCGAAACCCCGGTGCTTGTGCCCAAGTTCCTAGCGCCCCAACTCGGGTACATCAAGGCCGAGCCCAAGTACATAAAGGCTGAGCTTGGGACCCTAGTGCTCGTGTCCCAGTCCCTAGTGCCTATGCCCAGGTCCATCAAGACTGGGCTCGAGACTCCAACACCTGTGCCCGGGCCCATCAAGGCCAGGCCTGGGACCTTGGCACTCGAGCTCTGGACCCTAGTGCTTGGGCTCGAGTCCATTGAGACCAGGCCCGGAACCCTGCCGCACTTGCTTGAGACCTCAACATCTGTGCTTGTGTCCCGATCCATTGAGGCGGGGCCCGAGACCTCGCGTCCCCGTCCATCGCAACCGCGACCATTGATGCCGGGTCAGGTCCATTGAGGCCAAGCCCGGGTCCATAGAGGCCGGGCCGAGTACCCCAGTGCCCAGGCATTATATTAGATCTTCAGTCACATAACAAGGACAAGAGAATTTCGACCACGATCCACAAGCAAAAGTATACAACATCATGCGTATATTCCGCATCATGATTTTTGTCCGGTTTATCCATGCCAAGGGTACAAAACAAGAATGGGCAATGAAAAGTCTTCTCTCTCTGTCTTCAACACCACTCCGTCCTTGCCCTATATGACCAACACAACCACAACCAGATAGTCCTTCTCTCTCTCTCTCTCTCTCTCTCTCTCTCTCTCTCTCTCTCAAACACCACCATCTTCATCTTCACTTCCAAAGTGCCCCATCATCAAAACCACCTTCACCCATAAAGATCAAATGCTCAGCCTCGGACCTAGCCTCGCTCACCAACTCCACCGCCTCCAACTCCAACAATGCCCTCATGTCCACCTTCCTCTGCAGCCGCCTCGACGCGCATCTCCAACAAGTTCGCCGACACTGCCCACGCGGTCGACAACACCTACCTCCTCTTCTCCGCCTACCTCGTCTTCTCCATGCAGCTCGGCTTTTCCATGCTCTACGCCGGCTCCGTCTGCGCCAAGAACACCATGAACATCATGCTCACCAACGTCCTCGATGCAGCCGCCGGCAGTCTCCGCTACTACCTCTTCGGCTCCCCCTCCAAGGGCTTCGTCGGCCTCCACTTCTTCGGCCTCAAGAAGATCCCCTCCGACCCCTTCGATTACAGCTTCTTCCTCTACCAATGGGCCTTTGCTATCGCCACTGCCGGCATCACCAGCAGGTCCATCGCCGAGAGCACCCACTTCATGGCCTACCTCATATACTCCACCTTCTTGACGGGCTCTGTCTACACGATAACCTCTCATTGGTTTTCGTCCGCCGACGATTGGCCCAGCCCATTCCGGCCTGACGGCAAGCTCTTCTTCGGGTCTGGCGCCATCGACTTTGCCAGGTCGGGCGTGGTCCACATGGTGGGAGGGATAGATGGCTTGTGGAAAGCCTTCATTGAGGGCCCGCGCATCAGCCGGTTTGACCAGGCTGGGCGGGTCGTGGCCTTGCGGAGTCACAGCGCGTCCCTCGTTGTCCTTGGGTCATTCATGTTGTGGTTCGGGTGGTACAGGTTCAACCTGGGCTCGTTCCTCACCATCTTAAAGACGTACAACACCATCAGCGGGTTCTACAGCCGATGTAGCACCGTGGGGTGGACAGCCGTCATGACCACGCTGGCCGACTCCACCGCCGCCCTCACCATGCTGTTCAGCAAGCGATTGTTGGCGGGCCATAGGAACATCATCGACGT